GGGGTTGTTCTGAGTTCAGTCAACAACTTGGGAGGCCCTGTGACCCAGCTTGGCTACACGGGGCCTGTCATGCAGCATGGTCTGGAAAATGTCCTCTAATCCACACACAGACACACTCTGTACAGGGCATAGGTGCACCCTCGCTCAGAGAAGAAGGATGGAGACAATTAGGGAGGGAGGGGGGGAGAGAAGGAGGGTACAGATTCTTGTATATTCTACACCATGTGATGCAGACAATAAGGGAGGGAGGCGGGGAGGGAGAGAAGGAGAGATGGAGGGTACAGATGCTTATATACTCTACACCATGTGATGCAGGGCAAAGCACTCAGGAAATTCTTGGTGCTTCTCTCCAGAACATTCTGGGAGGACTTTGAAATGACGCTTCCAGTGTTTCCCAGTCCGGTCCTCGGGATCCCCCAGCGGGTCCACATTTTTGCTCCCTCCCAGCTCCCTGCCAGATAGTCCACATTGGATAGTCCACATTGGATAGTCCACATTGGACAGTCCACATTGGATAGTCCACATTGGATAGTCCACATTGGACAGTCCACATTGGATAGTCCACATTGGATAGTCCATATTGGATAGTCCACATTGGATAGTCCATATTGGATAGTCCATATTGAATAGTCCATATTGGATAGTCCACATTGGATAGTCCATATTGAATAGTCCATATTGGATAGTCCACATTGGATAGTCCATATTGAATAGTCCACATTGGATAGTCCACATTGGATAGTCCATATTGAATAGTCCACATTGGATAGTCCACATTGGATAGTCCACATTGTACTATCTGGAGGTCCCCGAGGAGCAGACTGGAAAACATTGATCTCGTTGTCTGAATGTCCTGCCCCTGGCTTCCAGGCCAGAAATCAGCCCCGTTACTTTACTGATGCTTGGTGAAGCAGATGTTTAAGGTGAGAGACCCTTTGGGGCTCCTGTGCAAGCAAAGTGAACAAAGAGAAAAGCATGTGCAGATCTGCCAGGTGCCGATGTGATGACCTGCCCCAAACTCGCAGATCTGCCAGGTGCCGATGTGCAGATCTGCCCCAAACTCGCCACCGTTTCTCTCACCTTGTCAGGGCTTATTTCTCGCCCCTCGTCAAGCCGGTCCAAACAGCGCAGCCTCCGTGGGAGGGAGTTGCAGCCGCAGCCGCAGCCGCAGCCGCGCGGCGCTAATGAGACAGCTGTCATCCGCAGATCTACCTTTTCCCATTTTAATTCCGCTGGACAGGAAAGCCAGTTCCCCAGAGAATGTCCCCCTCTACCAGTTCCCCAGCGCCTACTCTTCCCCCTAAGCGCTCATGCAGTGGGGGGGGCTTTGAGTTAGTTCTGAGAAATGCACCCACAATGCAGCACTCCATGTCAAAGACGCGCGGAGAACGCCTCTCCATCTGCCCCAGGAAGCCACACAGTCATCCTGGCCAGTCTATATCTGTCACTGGTAAATTGTTATGGAATTTCCCAAGCAGTTATAAAACCAAAACTTATTGAACTAGCTTAACTGGTTACCTTTCCAACTACACAAGGCTTTGGCTTTTTTAAGAAGGTTTCATGAGACACAAAGGAAAGTCTCCAGGTGTCTTGATAGTAAAAGTTTATGTTTGGAAAGTTAGGTGAGACTGGTCAGCTGGGCAGGTTGGGGCCTTGACATGGATTATAAACGTTTCATACAATGGCTTTAGGGGGCTGGTGCCTTCGCTGGCGATCTGTGCCGGCAGCTCGCTGGGTCTAAAAACACCTTAAAACACCTGTCAACAGACATTTGTGCTTCCAGCGGTGCACAGAGCGTAAGGCCGAAGAAATGGGATACGGTTGGACGAGCTGTCCTTCACCACGATGCGGCCCGGTGGCTGGGCTCGTTTCAACCTCTTTAAATGCCCTATTGCACTGGCACTGCTCCATCTGTAGAAAGTTCTGGAAGCTCTGTAACAGAATGTATTTGTAGCACGATGTGAATTAACACGGTACGTAATTTTCCGGCATCGAATGCCTTATGGTCTGTCGTTTCACTTACGTGTGTATGTGTGTGTGTGTGTGTGTGTGACTCTTTTTATCTGTGAGTGTTTTAGCACGTCACTCAGGGCATGTAAATGAACAGTGTTTATGTGTTAGTTAACCTAACACATACCCGTAGTATGAGTACTCTAGGGGTGACGCTGTCATTGTAAAAGACCAACATATGTTTCGCGAACCACTTCGCATGTGGGTGTGTACATAAGTGTACGTAAATGTACAAGAGAAAAACTCCAAATTGGGAGGCAATTGGTGTGAAATTGCATTCCCCATAGAACTAACTGGATGATTTATAATGGTGCATTAGTGACTTTGTCTCCTTTGACCTCTGACTTCTGAGCATTCAGCTCTCTCTAGATGGCTCTTCTTCCTGGGATCCATTTGCCACTGCGACATGTAGCTCTGTCTCGCTGACAAAAACAAGAGGCTGTTTTCAAACCCCTGTCACTGCATCTGTTGCAGTTGAGAGACAATCAATTTAAGAAGCAGGGTAAAAAGATATTACTTTTAGCTGTACGGTACTTTAAAAGATACAATAGTTTTAACCCTTAAGAACAATGGTCTAAAAGTATTAAAGCTACAAGCACAAGTTTAGAACAGTAAACGTATTGCTATTGACTGTAATATAATGATATCACCATCGTAAGTAAATGAAAGATATCCCTATCGACTGTTATTTAAGATGCAGCAATCAACAGTACTTTAAGTGTATGGTTATCGACAGAGATGTAATCATGGCTTAGATGCCAGGGCATTGAGTGTGCTGTGCTGTGCTGTGCTGTGCTCCGCAGGGCATTGAGTGTGCTGTGCTGTGCTGTGCTCCGCAGGGCATTGAGTGTGCTGTGCTGTGCTGTGCTCCGCA